TAATATTTTTAACAATTTTATTTATATACATATATACATATATATATATATATATGTATATATATATATATTCAAAAACGTGTTTACATATATATATACCTATATATATATATATATATACATTTTTGTTTTTTGAAAAGGTGTATGTATATATATATACAACTCTTCTTTGCATCATGATTGCCACAAACATAACATGACTTTATATATATATATATACATATATATACATATATATATATGTATACACTGTTGTGATCATGAATCGTTAGCGTGTTTGCACCATGGCTTGACAATGGGAAAGAGGTAGTGTGGAAAAGCCAATGCCATGAAGCTGCACTTGGGGACGGTTTATGGGGCCGGCCAGTTTATCAATATGGAGGGTTACCAAACAGCGATGCAGACTTATCACTATATTGAGGACATCTAATACTGATCAACTGGGGTTCATTAGCCCTAGGTTGCATTATGTTTTTGAGCCTTTTATAGTGAACATGCTGGATGATATCTGACTATAGCTGACTCACAGATAGGTATGACGGCTTCATATTACCAAAAATAAAAGGTTAAGTGGTCAATGCTCAAGATGACAGATTTGAATATCTCTGGGTGCCACATGGTTGGCATGGCTGGCATGGTTGACATCGCATCAAAACCACACGCCATAGATTTCTGCATCCTCTGGGAGTTCGCCCCGTGGAGACGCGGTTGGGAATCAACATTCCCACGTCAGTCGCTGAACTGCCATTTGTTAGACACAATAATTAGACACAATCATTACATGTGTATATACATATATATATAATTATATATACATGATCCAGTCCCCCGGCCACACACCACCCCCATGGTAGTATCCCCCCCACCCACATACATACAAAGACACATACATGCATACTTACCTACATACATTCCTACCTACATACATACCTGCCTACCTACAAACATACATGCCTACATTTAGACATACATACCTACCTACATCCATTCTTACCAACCTACCTACTTACATACCTACCTTCACACATACATGCCCCACCATCCCACATACATACAAAGACACATGCATGCATACCTACCTACATACATTCTTACCTACATACATACCTGCCTACCTACATACATAATACCCACCTACATCCATTCTTACCAACCTGCCTACTTGCACACCTACCTTCACACATACATGTACACATGCATTCATACATACATAGATACCTACCTAGATACACACACACACACCAGTGCTTACTTGCATGCATGCACAGCTTCGTACATACCTGCCTACCCACGTGCATACACAAACACACATAAACACACTCACATTTACACACATATACATGCATACATGCATACATACATACACACACACACACACTTGAGAAGTCATGTTTGACATTTCGTTCTTTAGTGTCTGTTGTCCATTTGTAATGGCAGCAAAGGCATCGCTTAGTCTGTGAGCTAAGCTTACCGGGTTTAAAAATTGATGTTTGTGTTGGCACCCAAGCTGCACACGACGGTGCCCATGGCGTGCCTGCAGGTACGTTTACACAACCAATGGTGAGTGTCTTCGATGGTGCAAGACGCACCAAAGGTTCTTGCGCCCCCTGCAAAATAAAAACGTGAAAACTTGTCATTTTCCTTCTTTCTAGATTCACCTGCAAGCTGAACTTGCTTCTCCATTTCGCTGACTTCGCCAGTCAAAGACTCAAGGTCCTTTTGGCTTTCAGCCACCCCTGCAGAATAAAAACGTGAAAACCTTAGAGACAGGCGTGGACACACACATGAAGGCACGAAGCCAGGAAACTGCAGAGCAAACTTTTGCTTGAGCCAAAATGGCACACAGAGACACATCCAGGAACTTGGTCGTTTCATATGATCTAAGGATCATGTTTCAGCAAGTTCGAAATTCAAATGCAGGTTTCAAGTGCTGGTTTCATCTCAAAGCAATGAAGTAAACTTCGGAAGGCCTGTCCGAAAACAGGGTTCTAACACATGAAATGTCTCCAAGCCGGAGCACCGGCTATGTCATTTTCTTGAGCCATAGACATGGCGTTTCAAATACTGGTTTCAAATAGGAACTTTCAAGAGGCCTGGCCTCCCAGGATCACAACGGGACTGTGACAGATCTCTCCGCCGAGAACACACTTGAGAAGTCATGTTTGACATTTCGTTCTTTAGTGTCTGTTGTCCATTTGTAATGGCAGCAAAGGCATCGCTTAGTCTGTGAGCTAAGCTTACCGGGTTAAAAAATTGATGTTTGTGTTGGCACCCAAGCTGCACACGACGGTGCCCATGGCGTGCCTGCAGGTACGTTTGCACAACCAATGGTGAGTGTCTTCGTTGGCGCAAGACGCACCAAATGTTCTTGCGCCCCCTGCAAAATAAAAACGTGAAAACTTGTCATTTTCCTTCTTTCTAGATTCACCTGCAAGCTGAACTTGCTTCTCCATTTCGCTGACTTCGCCAGTCAAAGACTCAAGGTCCTTTTGGCTTTCAGCCACCCTTGCAGAATAAAAACGTGAAAACCTTAGAGACAGGCGTGGACACACACACACACATACATACATACATGCATGCATGCATATTTACATACATACATACCTACATCCCATCCCACCCCATCCCATTCCATCCCTGCCCTTCCCTGCCCAGCCTATACCATACCATACCATACATCCATCCATGCATACGTGCATACATACATTACGCCACATTACATTACCATGTGCATTCACATCTACATGTACATTTAATTTTTTGTTTACTATTGCATTGAATTACATTACATTACACTACATTACATGCATACATACGTACGTACATACATGCATACATACATACATACATGCATACATACATACATACGTACATACAAACATACACATGTACATACATACATACATGCATACATGCATACATAGATACATAGATACATAGATACATACATACATACATGCATGCATACATATTTACATACATACATACATAGATACATACATACATACATACATACATACGTATGTACATACATACATACATCCATTCCATACATATCTACATCCCATCCCACCCGCATCCCATCCCATCCCTGCCCTGCCCAGCCCAGCCCATACCATACCATACATCCATCCATGCATACGTGCATACATACACTACGCCACATTACATTAACATGTACATTCACAATCTACATGTACATTCACATGTTTATTTACTTTTGCGTTACATTACATTACATTCCATTACATTCCATACATACATACATACATACATACAGACAGACAGACAGACACACATTCCATTCCATATCATATCATACCATACGATACCATACCATACCAACATACATACATTCCATTCCAGTCCATTCCATTCCATACCTTACTATACGATACTATACCATACATACATACACATTTGGGGGAGGGGTGGATATTTATATCTACACCTACTTGCAGACACCCAGGCAAACGTACATACACTTCTTCCCCCCATCCACCACCACATCCCCCCACCACAGGGGGGAAGAGATAGACAAAGACATACATGGTTCAACATAGTAGTCAAGTTGTATGTTGTACCTTGTTCTGCTTTCACCCTTGTGTTTGGCCCATTTGACATGAGACCAGCAATAATGAAGGGTGGTTTTGCCATGAAAATGTGGACAGTCTGTCTCGTTCACAAAATCGTGCCCCAACGACTTACTGTTTGCGGAAAGCCTTGAATCAAAGGGGGTATCAGCAGCAGCATCGAAACAGTACAAACTTTCAGCAGCATACAGCCGCATTTGCATGGCAGCACAACACAGCTACCCGCAGCAACAAGCAAAAGATAATGTTGAGTCCTTAAACAACCACATTGAGGACATTCTTTTTTGTTCGCAAAATCGTGCCCCAGCGGCTTGCTGTGTGTGCAAAGCCCTGAGTCAAAGGGTATCAGCAGGGGGCCAGGAACCCATGACTGTCTGTCCTGGCCAACGAAGACCGGACAGCATGGGGGTGAAAACGTAGCTGCAAATTTCTGATTTCGGATATGGCCAGGCGGCTAAGCCATAAACGACCCTTGCCGACATGACATGGTAACATAACATGACATGATTTCATTTCATCTCGTTTCATCTCGCTTCATCTCATTTCATCTCATTTATATAATCTCATTTCATCTTCTCCCTTCGGGGTGTATCCAAGTGTGTGGGTTTATGCATTTGCAACCAAAGCAATTGTGTTGTTTCATTACAGTTGTTGTTGTGTTTTCAATGTATTCTCAATAGTTTTGTAAATAATGAAATGTGTATGTGTATATATATATATATGTATATATTTTATAATTATGTTTTAAAAAAATGCCTCCCATTAGCCAAAAACTCAACGTAAGTCCCACAACTGTGCACCCCAACGCTGCGGATTCGCCCCGATTCCAAGGTGAAGGCTTTTAAGGACCCAGAGGATCCATGCAAATCTGCCGAGCCCATGACTGGCAGCTTGGCCATGCATGACTGGGGATTATTTATGAAATTGGATAATGTGGGTAAAACAATGCCATAAACAATCCCCCAAATCATAAAAAATGGGTTCTATAAACCATTCCCACATGGGTGGTTTATTATCGTTTTACCGACATTATATTCAAAGGAGTTTGAAATGAAGCTATTGCTATCGTTATATCATTGGATGCAGTTGACTTGTTCAGGTTTGAACCAGGCGAAGTCAGTGAAGGGTTGAAATTGTAGAGCTCCTCATTGCAAACTGTCGCTGGTGATCCTAGTGTTGGGGAAGGCCAAACAAAACAAATAATTTTGAGTTTGGTCTTACAACGTAGGGGCCCCTAAATGGCCAACTTGGTTCATCACTTGATTGACCTTCGGATTTGTGTGAGATATATATATATATATATAGATAGATAGATATAGATATTTATTTACACATACTGTAACTATATATAGTTAATTGCGTTTCTAAACCAACTTAAAAAACTGTGGGCCACACCAGCCACACCTTATGAGTTCCATCTTGCCGATACCAATTTACTGCCCCTTCCCGGCCCCTGGCCGAGGCATTGCGGAGCGTTGGGATTTCTGCGCCCTCAACGAAAAGCACTGCACCAATTGCAAAGGTGCCCGTCGGCGCCGACAGGAATTCCTGGTGGAGTAGATTGGAGGAGGAGGAGTAGAGTAGAGTAGAGTAGAGTATAGTATAGTATAGTATATGATGAAGACCGTCTTGACCAAGTCGGCTTCACCTATTGCCATCACATAAAAAAAGACGCGAAGAGACTCCTGAAGTCACCAGAAATCATTGCAGCTTACAGCTTACAAGATTCCGCCCCATCTGATGGAAAGAAGGTGGGCACTCATTTTGCGAAATAATTCAATGATATTCAATGATCATACCGCTGCTATTCTTATTGTCTTGCGAAGGCCCGGCCAAACGTCGCTGAAGCGGACAGCTTGGAAATCTGGTAACGGATACCGGATACACATGAAAATCACAGGCAAGGCATTCCACACAATGATGCGAGGTACCGACAGGAAATTGGCACAAAGGAGGCTCTCGCTTAGCACATGCACTGGCAGGACACCTTTTAGGGCATCACGGGTGCTGATGAAGAAAATCTGTTGGACTGATGAACTTCCCACACGGCATGTTACCGAACTTGAAGGCAATTGGCAACTTTTCTGGCTGCAGCACAACGGCTGGGTATAAACTTCTTGGCATTCTATGGCATCTCTTCGGTCAGAATCTAACCATAGATTAGAGAAATTAACTACCAAATAAATGTCGATTAACATGGCTCAACCAACAAAATTTGCAGGAATAATTTCGACACGTTGAAACCAACAATAATTTTGAAAAACAAGGCGAGTACTGTTGTATCAACCATACTTAAGATTCTCGATCAAAGCATGCGGATGAATCTTGGCAAAGGCGCTTGGTGCCTCCCGGGCAACATCACGTACTACGATGGCACCAAGTGTTTCAGCGTCAATCATTGGGCGATGTGTAGTGGAAAGATCATCTTTGGGCGATCCGGAGAAATTGTGACATGTAGACGTTAGTGACATGGTGCATCAAACATCAGAATTCATCATATATATAATATTATATTCATCATTCATCATAAAAAATAAAAGGAGAAACTGTTTTTACAGGAAGGGTCCCCTAAGATTTTTTTGTTCAACTTCGATTTCGTGGGAGCGCAGCGAGGTGCACTCTTGGTAGCTATACCCTGGTTACAACATTGACAGGTTTCCTATGGGGGTAGCCCTAATTATCCCTAATTCATGTTGTTTTCGGATCCTTGAAATAAACCGTGCATGAAATAAACCACTGTGGCTGATGGTTACCCAGTTACCCCGGTGGACAGAAACAGCTGCCGGCACAACTCACCAACCCATGACCCCCGGCAGCCCATTAGATGGCCAGATTTGCGTTGTTTTGGTGCTTAAACCCACCATACATCCACAAACTTTTTCCCGAATGCGTGGAAGGGTTCCCGTTTCACTCTGGAGGTCTGGGGGTTGAGGGTGTGATCGCTCGTCGACGTTGTGCAACCGTCCGCAACCGTCCGCGTGAGGGCCGTAAGTTCTGCAAAAGGGTGTATTTTTTGGAGGTTTGAAACGCCGCGTTGCTTCGTTTCGCGTGGCAAGTGTGGCACTTCGTGACATTCAGACGTGTGTCGTAACGTGTGGACAATCGTTTTGTGTGGCAGGCGCAATACTTTTTTTCGACGTTTTCAGAAGATGCGTTGTACTTTTCGTGACAGGGGCAGCACTTTGGACGTGTCCATCGTCATTTTGGGTGGCAGGCGCAGCACTTTAGACGTGTTACGCTGCGTGTTTTTTTGCGAATCGCATTGTCAGGGCTGCGTCAAGTGGTAAATTCCGTGGCAGGTGTGGCATTTTGTGAGATGTGATGAAAATTGACGGAAGCTTCGCACGAAATATTGATTTTGAGGCAAATTTGGAGGTTCATAAGAAAACTCGTAGGAAAACATCGATTTTGAAGCTACAAAGTGTGAAAATTGAACGATGTCTCGCACGAAAAGCTCGTTTTGATGCTCCCACGTGTCTCGTCTCGAGTCTCTGGTTTTCCTGTGGCCTTGCCGTGTCTATGGGGAAACCTCTCCTTTTCGAAGGTTTCCAAGCAGGTCCTCATGTCGTTTTGCGTGGCAGGCACGGCACTTGATGACATTCAAACCTAGTTTGATAACATGTCGAAAGTCGAAAGCCGTGTTGTGTGGCAGGCGCAATACTACTTTCGCGTCGTTTTCACAAGATGAGTTGCAGTTTTCGTGGCAGGTGCAGCACTTTGAAGACCTCCACCGTCATTTTGCATGGCAGGCGCAGCACTTCAGACGTGTCGCATTGCGTGCTCTACACTCCACGCTCCGCACTCTACACTCCACACTTCACACTCCACCCTGCACTTTACAGTCCACACTCCACACTCTACACTGTACACTCCACACTCAACACTTTACACTCCACACTCCACACTCAGACTCTAGACTCAACACTTTACACTCTACACTTTACACTCTACACTTTACACTCCACACTCTACACTTTACACTCCACAGTTTACACTCCACACTTTACACCGTACACTCTACACTTCACACTTTAAACTCCGGGCTTTGCAGTTGACACTTTGCACTCCACACTCTACGACACACTTTCGACTTGACACTTAGCACTCCACATGCTACACTGTACACTCCGCACTTTAAACTCCACACTCCACTTTCTACACTCCACACTCCGCACTTTACATTTTACACTTTACACTCCACACTTTACACTTTACACCCTACACTTTGCACTCTACACTCTACACTTTACACTCGTCACTCCGCACTTTACACTTTACACTCCACACTTTACACTCAAAACTCTACACTTTACACTCTACACTCCACACTTGCTCTCCACCCTCTTCCGCATTCCACAGTCCACAGTGCACTGGTACGGTAACAGGGGAAACATGTATATAGACTGTTCAAAGAACTTGTTTCACAAAAGTGTTCTACGTGACTGCATTCGGGTTCGTCGGCTGCATCTTGTTTTAGTTGTCCAGCAGAAGCCTATCTCCAACAGCCCAGGTGGATCAACATGTATCGCCATGATCCCCTGATGCTTATCCATATGGATCCAGCCGTACCTTTTGAGGTAGCATTTGGATCCACAACTGAATACCTAGACCCTCCAAGTACCCTGAATGTTTTTAATGCTTTTACGACTTTTTTGGTATTTGGAGGCTCTAGGTATATTAAACAAAGCTGTAGATAGATAGATAGATAGATAGATAGATAATTATATATAATTATGTATGTATATATATATATATTTATTACAACAAAATGTTTGAAATAGTAGCTATAGTAAATGCACTTATATAGATTTAATTATGCATACAAGTTATATTTTTGTGATGAGATATAATATTATACGTGATTTTCAATGATCTCCCATCATATCCCCAGTGGCTTCCATGGAGCCACGCGGCCACGGGGTTCGCCAAGGTATAAGCCCGGCGTGGAGTATGAGCCCATCAGCGACCAGCGACTCACAGCGGAGAACCACACGGCCACACAGGAAGCCGAAGAGGAGCGGAAAACATGGGGAAGATCATGGGAAGATCATGGGCCCCCAGTCGATAGCAATCAGTTGTGATAGAAAAGTGGCTGATTTCTATGATTTTCTATGGTTTATGATAGATATAACTATAGACAACTAGCCTGTGGGAATATGAGAGAATTATGAACCAATGAACACCATACTCTTGGTTGCGGAGCTGTGGAATAGTTAGTTATGATGAACTGATGAGCTAAGCCTAACATTGTAGGGAGACCTAGCATGTAGTACTTCATACGATGGGATAGGGATATTGTTAATGGTTCATCTGGGTTTGTTTGGTCGGTGAGTCTTTATTTTCCAGATGGAAATCCACTAGAAATTAGTAAGCTATGGAATCTATGGGGAATATGCGTTATTTCTCTTGGGGAAACCATTGAAAATGATTTGCTCACCAGATTTATATGGATCAAACCCATCCCCCTCATACTAAACACACCCGAACCACTGTAAATGGGTCCCCATATGTGGTTTCATCTATGGTTTCTTGGGGGTTGTTTTTTTAATGAACGGGGGATGCGATCAATGGGTGATGTTTGCACCGATCGTGATTTAACCAGAAAAAATGCTAGGAGCAAACATGGTGATTTGATGTGGCTTGATTCTATTTGGTCGTCCCCAAATGAACCAACTCGAGTGGGAAAATGTGTGATTTAAGAATCAAAATGGTTCAAGACTTGTGGTTTAACTTTTCAAAAGAAGGTATGATTTAATCACTAAACTGATGATCAATGTTTTGGTTCAAGGAAAATCCACGGTTGAACCTTTGGTTGTTTACCATCTACTCTTGGAATGTCATGTGTCCTGTCATTTTTCGCTTAAACAACAGGTACGGGGATCAGTGGCAAGTAACTGGGTTCATAGCAGATGTTTTAACTCATGCCAATTTTTGGATGCGGGTGTGTTGTCCAGTTACTATCTCCGTTGACTAACTCCAAGTGAATGTCCATCTCTTTGCTTCTTAGTTTCGGCAATGATTTGTTCAGAAAGGATATGTTTTTCATTTTATTTTCTTAAATACAGATTCCATAAACGACCAGCGGCCTGGTTTTGCTTCATAAATAACCTTAGGCGATGGAGTTCGCTAACTGCTACCGAGTATGTTTGGGTATTGCGATCGCAAGTTGGCCAAATCATGGCCCATAGCGGGAGAACGAATTACACAATCTGCAAGTTGATGATGGGAATTAATTTATCAAACAACCCCTTTGGGTGTTCATGATTGCATCCCAAACAAACAATAGTCAAACAATACTTGATGGCCCATGCAAGCATTTTTTCCTGGTTCTTGGTTGTTGATGGTTGAACCCAGAAAGCATCATCAACCTTTTCATTTTTCCCATGATCTTCCAATTTTCATCCCAAACAAATCCAAAGTTGATGCTTCCCATTCTATCACTTATAATCGCACCACGTTGAATCACCACAAATGCTGAAAACCCCTAGAAATTCATGGGTTTCAAGTTTCATCCCATCATCATCCCATCCACCAGCGAAAATGTCCAGGAAGTCGCCAACGACGATAGCCTGGACGACCTCTTTCCCGATGGCCTGGCTGACACCGCCCACGACCTGCCAAAAGATGCAGAGGAACCCGAAGGGGCCGAAGGAGCTGAGGACGAGGACGAACCACCGCCATTTGCGTGAGAAGAAACTCGGTGCGAATTTTAAGGTGATTCAAAGTGACTTATAAGGACATTTAAGGGATTTGTTGGATGACACATATTGGCGAGAGCCATGGAAAATGGCCCGTTTGATAGGCAAATTCATCTACACATGGGCAATTTTCCATGGCTAGGTTCAATTACTGAAGGGTATTTGGTCTAAGAGATTTAACTGATTCGACTGATTTTGCAATATAGCAAGTAATGATTAATGAGTTGCTTACTGGTGATTTCATTTCATCAAATCACAGGTATCCAAATGCTAATGTAGAAGGAACGACTTGAACAATTAAACATGGAGGCGCTGGATGTCGCCAAGACAAAAATGGAATTGAATTAGCAACAGCTTCAGGAACTCACAACGTGTAGCACATTCACATCACCGCAGGAAACGTTAGGAGAAAGAACGCTCAATGACCTAATGCAGGTTGTTGTATGAATCTTTGGCCCCATAGCGCCAGTGTCAGAACCACTAGTACATGTTGTTGTTTTTTAAGCGTTCTATTTATCAAGACTTGGTTAGATTGCATTGCATCATCTTTCATCCAAGGTTTCGGTCCCATCAACTCAAAAAATGGTAAACCACGGAACCCCCGGGGAACACGACGACAGGAAGAGGGATCCAATTGCCCCCAACTTGGGGTAGAAACATATGCTTTTTGCAGGGTATCTCGTGATATCTCATGATTTGATGATGTACAGTAGAAAAAAGCATCTAAATATACTGTAGTTGATTCTCACGATCCTGAGTCTGGACTGACCTGTGGGTGTTTGAGATGGTCATGGGCCACCGTTCTAAGAGCGAAAGTGCCAACCAACACGTTTTTTTTTGTGGGTCAAGAGTGGTTAGTGTATCCCCTAGACATTTATCCAATGCCTGCCGGGAGCCACGCAAGACGTGACCCAAGCTGATTAATGGCGCAGGAGTCACAACTATGAAGTACCTTCCAACTACCAAAAGGTTTATTGCTGGCTGTTTTCCCAGCGATTGCCTTCCAACTATAAAGATGCTTTGATGCCAGGGGCCTCAAATCAGGAAAACCTATAAGGATCCCTTCCCCAGAACAGTTACCTCCCGAAGCAAACCCGAATGGTGGCTGATCCATCACTTAGTGGAGGGTATCTCTTGGACCCTTGGAAATCCATGATGACAATACCACAGGTGCATCCCTGGCTCAGGCGATTTCTGCCATGATTCTGAGCTCCTTTATCCGCTCGATTTGACACATGTCTCATCCCAGATAGAGCACCACCCCTGTGGTGGCTGTGATATTGCGGCATATCGCCAAAAAGTGTGCGTTCTTCTTTCCAGGGTCTGGGACTAGTTTGAGTTTGCAATTTTTTAGTGCTAGTTTGATGTCCAGAGTTAAAGGTCAATGGGCCATATGTATCCACACTCGACTGGCCACATCCCCCTTGAGATCAGGCTTTGATTGCGAGTCCCTGATCAAACACGCACGCAACGCTTGAGTTCCTTTATGCTCAAGCTATTTTGACCCACCTTTTCTATCAGCGTTTTTCGTGTTGAGTGCCATGATGCGACTGATTTGCACCGTGGCTTCAGCAGCCTGGTTGAAACTCTTGTGCCGTTCTTCGGGGCAGCACTTCCACAGCATTTTTCAGGGTTGTCTCAAGTGAGGGATGCCTTGAAATCGCCGTAGTATTGATATATATTTTTTATTGCTGTGAGACATGATGAAGCCTGGGATATGGGGGGTTCACAATTTTCGAGACAACACCCAGTTGCAGCCATTTTGTTCAGCCCTTTTAGTGATTTTAGTGTATGATGATAGCGTGGATGATGTGGGACTGTGCCGGATACCCATGTTGGGTTACAATTTCAAAAAGCAAATTGAAGCAGTAGAAGAAGGCAAACAGAAATACGTATGTTCATATACGCCTTCACTTTTGTTGCAACTCGCTCACACGTTTTTTCTGGTTGATTCTCATTGGTTGGATTCCGGTTGGATGTTAGCATCTATATCATGATTATCATGGTTATATTATTACATGCCATTGTTTGGGCGAAGGGCGAGTTCAGCATGTGTTTCTATTTTTGGGCAAAACATGGCTGCAGGTGCTTTACTGACTTACAATAATTAATCAATATAAGTATAAGTTTTTTTGGGGGGGCAGTTACCTTAGCAACCATCATGTCAATAAACTCTTAGTTAAATCAAAGGTTCTTGCTGGTTCTATACATGGGTTAAATCCCATTGGTCAACCAGTCAACCCCCATTTCCCCATTGCATCCCCATTATATGTGGATAAAATGGTTGGCATCATGCCCAACGTTGCATATAGAGACCAGAAATTTGTCATTTTAATAGAGGTAAACGCCCAGTAACTGCAGTTGGCGATTTATCACCATTTAAACCCTCTTACCTTTTGGTATTCAAATGTGGCTTGCTGGAAAATACATGGTTTAAAGTCGAGGCCCATTTAGTCTGGGGATTTCCCAGCCGCCCGTCATGGCTCTTTAATTCTGTTCGATTGGTAAGTTCAATTGGTAAGTTCTATATTATGCATTTAGCTCGATATGTTTCCCATGTTTCCCATTTACATAGCCAGGTTTATCTCGCCGTGTCGGACGACCTGACAGTGCCATTGGAAGAAGCCTGCGATGCTGGAGACCAGGTGCCGAAGCGGGAAAATGGCTCCGATTTCACTAGGGAAACCTCTTTTAAGTGTGGAATTTAAGTAAAACACATTCAAACATTTAAAAATCGGTTAAAATGGCTTCCTGGGATTTGATCAAGCGGAATTTACGAGTACTGTAAGAGAATTGTCATTGAACCAATTTGACCAGCGCAATCGTTGTTCAAGATCTGACAAATTAGCCGACTGTATCCAAGAAGAAATTGTAAGTATACATTGTTAACACGAACAACGAAGAAAAAACACCACAATAGTTTCTTGACCACCACCAGCAGCAGCATCAACAACAACCGTGACTTTATCGAAACACAGAAATGTATATCCGGCAAGGCATGCAGAAACACATGTGCGGTGTTTTTCTAAGAAAGAGTAATATTACTATAGCATACTTTAGCATCCCAGTGACTCAACATGAAGCCTTCAAGCGCAGTCATATTTTGGTTTGCTTTCGCCTCTTTAACTGTAGATGATATATCAATAGCTCATAAAAGCTCAAAGAGTTTCCGTTACATATATAGTTCAGAAACCAACAGACGCTATCATCAACGGGTATATATGTATATTATATTGGTTAATCGTTATTAATTGGTGTTACCCATCTATATCACGGATTCCCATGTTTATTGACACAAACCACGTTTTCCTGTCCAGGAGTGTGCCTTGTCCTTTCGGCAGCTGCGTGGTCAGCAGGCAGACCGATCACGACTGCTTCGCGGGTTCGTTAAGCTATGGGTAGTTGAGGAAACGGCCCCAAAAGTGCTGACCGGCGTCGGTAGCTTGGTAAACGCCCTTCTTTTGAGGAGGAATTTTCAACTAATGTTGGCTGCCTAATAGTAATTACCCCCCTAATTTTCTTTTTTTTTTTAATAGGGGGGGGGTCAACCTTCCTATAATAATTTTTGGGAATCTATAGCTGGGATCATGATATCATGAAAATCCTGTCTGCCCCCCCCAGTTGCGCCCCCCCCGGATTGCAAGGTGGCACCAAAAATTAATAGCAGGTTATTAAGTTTTTTGGTTCCGGTTTGGAGGCGCGCACTGAAGACAAGGCGCGCAAATAATCACAAGCATGTGGTTTTGATATTAGATGGTTATTAAAGGTTTCTCTTCCATTTTGGAGCTCGCGCGTTGGAAATACAGCGCGCAAACACTCACGGGCAGGTGTTTTCTTATTAGCTGTTTATTAAGGGTTTCAGTTCCGTTTTGGAGCTCGAGCGTTGGAATCGCAGTGCGTAAACAGACATGGGCATATGCTTTCTTATTAGCTGGTTATTAAGGGATTCTGCTTTGGAAGATTTGAGAGCAAAAGGTTTGCAATTGAAGATTTGGCCTGTCATTATTTTATGAGGCGCATCGTGGGGAGGCAACTAGAATTCCGATTCGTATCCATTTACTTTGAAATATTTTGGATCCCCAATGAATGTTTCACAGAAGGCTAACCCCTCCCCCCCCTAACCCCCCCCCATAGTAGGCCTTAATTAAGGTCAAATTAAGGGTTGAGTGGTTTTCCCCAATTTTTGGTTCAAAGTGCTTAATTTGGCCTTAATTCTTTGATGGGATTACTGAATTGGCTTTCAAGGGTCTTTCCTACATTCATAGAATTTTGTCTTGGGTCAAAAGAGTAAACATGTGTACAAACAAAGACCCAAGTGAATTTTTGAACAAACAGAGGAACGCACCAAATCAAATTAAGATTTTAACCAAAAAAAAGGAAATTGAACGTTTCCAAGTTACGAATAAAGAACTGCGCTGAAGCGAACAAGCAACTATTTTGACTTTCACGCTTCAACGTTCGCAAGTTTCCAGATTAGACCCGATTAAACCCAACGAACAAAAACCACAAGGAAAAATCAAATTTTCCAAACCAAGACTAAATTTAAGGGCCAATTAAGCTTCAAATGGTGGAAAAACACAGGGAAAATCAAAATTTCAAAATTAAGACCAAATTAAGGCCTAATTAAGGCCCAATTAAGGCTTAATTAAGGCCTAATTAAGGCTCAAATGGTGGAAAACACAGGGAAAACACAATTTTCCTAATTAAGG